CACTTTCAGATCCAAAAAATCAATGACCTAAGGAACAAGTCCAGAGTGGGTAGATGGGGCTGGCTTGGCAGAATTCCACCTGAAACGATTTGGTCATTTTGATTTGACCCCCCAAGGTCAATGTAAGCACCAACAATGTGATGTGGCTACTACAACAGTGGACCCAGACGTGGGTTCCTAACTTGAGGGGGCCCCGGTGGTGGGAGGGACTGCCTTCCCCACCCTAGTCAGCTACATCCGGTGCTGTGGGTTCAAATCTGGACCCCACACTTTATAGGCACAGGGTCCAGAGAGGGGACCCAGAGAAGGCAGCAGGACCTAATGTCCTCATGTGAGGAATGATGAACAGAATCTCAGGGAAGCAGCATGGGACAGGAGACAAGGCTTAGTGGGGACAACTTGGCTGCCTTGGAACATGGACCTGGGGAGGAGGGAGGAGCTGAGAGCAGCAGGTAGAAGTAACACGGCAACTGATTTGGGGTTGCTCAGGGGAAGGATGCTCTGACAGGTGGGCTTGTCTGTGGGTGGTTGCGTGACGTGAGCTTCCCATCTCTGGGATGAGAGAGCAGGCCACCTGGAGCACAGCCTGGTCCCAGCAGAGACTGGACCATAGGAGCCCAGAGTCCCTCCCCTCCTCTGTCCAGACAGCCTCTGGTTTTCATGCAGGCTTTCTCCATGGTAATGGATGGTTCTTGGTCAGCTAAGGGGGTGGGTGAGCAAAAGAGAGAGGGGTAGAGAGGGGTGGAATCTGCCTGGGCCATCCTCCAGGGCTACGTGGACACTCACCAGGGCAGACAGCATCATTTCCTCTGCTGTTGCACAGGCCAATTAGTGAGAGGAAGAGAGAAGCTGGGGAGCCGGGCAGCTGGACCTCCCACAGCCCCAGATGTCATCTCCCACAAGGCTCTGGAGAGCTGCGGGAACACACTCACCATATGCACACACACACACACACACAATCCTGCTGAGATGTGTTTAAACATCAGCCCTCGCACAAATGTTCACACACCCACACTCATACGCAATCACATGTTTTCCCACCTAATGCTCATCTGCCTACGCACTGACTCACCCTCATCTACGTGCACACACACAAAGTGGCACACACGCAAGTGCACGCACACACGTGGGCCCTATCTTGGTTCAGATTCCTGGGACACAGACTCTGAGACGGCAGCACGCACGCAGGAGGCTCCTGGGGGCATGCTCTGCAGCGAGGGAGGGGGGCAGGATTACACAGAGAGAGGAGCTGTGTGCCCATGCAGACACAACTGAGGCCTCAGCTGATCCCACAGGGAGCTCTGAGGCTGGAACGGCCCTTCAGAGACGTCCAGAATTCAGATGAATGGGCTGGGCCTCTGTGTCCCTGCATGGACCTGTCACTGGGGAGGGGAGGGGGCATATCTGGGCGAGGTGGCTTTCTCCAGAGAGGGACTGGGCTGTGACCATCAGCTACCCACCCTCCCGGTAGCTGGGGGTTGAGTCGTGATCTTGGAAGGGGAACTGGGCAGCACCACGGTGTCCACTAGATGCCCGCAAGGACACACACAGCCTGGCTGGAATTCTCCTCCCCAGCCTCACCCATGCCTGTTCCTGGGACAAGCCCACCCACGAGGTGAGGAGGCAAACAGAGGGGCCTCGAAGGGAAGGCCACTGCCCTGACCAGTGAGGGGAGGGAGTGGTCGGCATCCTGGACGGGCAGCCCTGGGCAGCGATCAAGGCAAGATTGGGGTGGACCAGGAAGAGAGTGAGGCACCCTCTTCCCCAGTCTCCTTGGCTCTTCTCAGAAAGCTCCATAAACACCCTTCTCTCCACTCCCTTTCTTATACCCTCGATCTGGCTAAGGAGCCCAGGAATCGTGGAACAGTTCTCAAAATTTTCCTTTGTGAAGTCTTCCACGGCGATGGGCCTTACCCTCTCTGGTGTCTAATATCACAGTCTCCGTGTCTCCCGGGCCAGTGCTCAGTCATGGTTTCTATTTTAATATCTGGTTGCCCCATACGGTTCAGAGCACATCCCCTAAACAAGAACACCTAGGTTCAAACGCTCCCTCTGCCCTCACCGCAGGCCCTTGGCCGAGTTCTGTGATCTCTCTGTGCCTCCCTTGCCCTGTCTGTGAAATGGGGTGACAAGCTCACAGAGTGTGCACTGGGCACGTGCGCAGATCCACCTGGAAGGGTTGGTGCTCAATGAGCTTCACACTGCGATCCTCTTCCAGCCCCTCCTCAATCGCGCTCAGCATGCTCAGAGCTCACCCCTCCCCACATGTCCCCCCCGCCCCCCAGGCTCTGTTCCACTCCCGGAACGGATCTTGGCAACCATGGTCTTAATTGTGTGCGTTTGATGAATGGCTCTGCTGGGTCTGCTCAGAGCGGCAGCTGTAGAGCTGAGTAGGGATGGAAACAGCCATGAGGAAGGTTGGGAGCGCAGAGCCCAGGCGAGGCTGAGGATGCAGGGGCCCCGCCCCGACCTCCTCGCATCCAGCACACTGGGCACCAAGCAGCCCACTCATTGCCCCTCTGCAGCCACCCTTAGGGGTGGTGGTGGGGGTGGCAATCCGAGAGGGCCTAGAGCATCCTTGGAGACCTGCCTCCCTGACCCTTATTTTCACACATGAGGATGTCGAGGCACAGACCAGTTGAGCGACTTGCCCAGGGACACACAGCTGGTAAAAGGCAGACTTGAAAATCTAACCCGAGCTTCCCAACCCCCAGGTCGATGCTCTGCCCACTGGCCCACCCTGCCTCATTCCACAGTCCTCCGCCAAGATGCTTCCTCCTCTCTGCTAATTCGATTTGCTGACGATGTTTCACTGCCTTCTCCCACCCTTCTGTCTTCTGGAATATCCAGAGTGGGAGGCATTTCCTGCAGCACCCAGTTCTGGGAGCTCCAGCCCTGGACCTTTCACTTATTTGCTGTGTGACTTTAGGCAACTTGCTTAACATCTTTGAGCCTCAGCTTTCCCGTCTGTAGAATGGGGATGATGCAAATTTTGTCTACCTCCTAAGATTGAGGTGGTAAATAAGAGAGTGCAAGCGACATACTTAGCACAGTGGTGGTGCAGAGGAAACTCAATGTTGGCCATTACCATTACTAGTCGGGGTCCTTGGGGCTGCCTTGTATAGCTGGGCAGTTTGCACACTGTGCAAATGTACCTGCCAGGAGTAAGTGGGGCTGAAATCCAGCCTGTGCTCACCCCCAAGCTGTGCCCCCTTGGAGCTGTGTCCGCCCCCAGGAGGTGCTATTTTCTGATCCATCTACCCAGAGGGGGTGCCTTTTCCTCATCTGTGCCAAGGGGCCGTAAAGTGCAGCCCTGCATGCCCTGAATATGATTGGAAGGGTTCAGGGCAGGATTCCAAACTACCCGCATCTGGGAATCACAGGGCCTGAATTCTACCATTCGAGATTCCCCTTGGGTCCCATGGTCATTTTTGATGTTCTAGAAATCCCACTGAAAATGAAACATCCTGGGGAACAATGATACTCCAAAAATAATAACCCCTTATCATCATTTTCATTCTCATCATCACCATGATTTTAAACTTTGAGTGGATTAGCCTTCACGCAGCTGAGATAAGCCCTCGGGATGGGGTGGGGGAAGAAGGGCACTGTGGGGCGAGGCAGGCGAAGGGAAAGGCTTGCTTTCCTGCCTTTGTAATTTCTTCGGGGCCCCACTTCAGCGGCATGAACCCGGCCCACTGGGCCCACAACAGCAGCTGCAGCAGCCAAAGGTTTCTGATTTACAGGGAAACCCCGCTCCGAGGAGCAGTATTAATGCAGTGATAAAGCTGATCCCCCAGGAGCAACTCCATTTTAAGGGGAGCGAGGGACACATTCCAGGGGAATGGGCAATGTGGATTTACGGGGCCCTTGGGCCTTCAAATCCCACCCCAGAGGTGGCTGCTGGTGCCACTGAGACAAAAAGTCTGCCTTGCTTGGGGACAATGACATTCCAGAGGTGGGGCGTCTTAGGCCGGGACCCCCAGAAGCAGACCTGACACGGGATTCCTATGCACGTGATTTATCAAAAAAGTGCTCCCCGAGATACAGGCAGGCAAGGGTGACTTCAGGTGACGTCCCGAGAGGGTAGCTTCAGCGGGCAGGGGCAGGGGAGCTCTGGGGTGTAAGTTATGCCCTGAGGTAAGGATGCCGGGGCTCTGATACCCCCGAACACATTAGTCACTGGTTAAGTGCAGCCCAGGGAGGGGCTGGAGGATGTAAATTCTAGCACTGCAGCGAATGTTCTAGAAGCTGGAGGGCAAGGCAGTCCTCCAAAAAGTGTCACAGGGCTGGCTATTGGAAAGTGAGGCACAGTGAAGCCCAGCACCCTCCTCCTGCATGAATGGGGTAAAAGAACCCCAGAGGACCTGAGCTGGGTGCCTCCAATATCTGCTAGACGGGGCGAGGGGAGGTGGGATCTTAAATGCTCTTGCCCACCCATGGAGGCGTCCTGTCTCCAGCAGCGAAGTTTTCTAAAATTCCACGCGCACCTTTCCACGCTCCAGTTCCCTTGGAAACACCCCATATGTTCCACTCTCTCCTTGCTGAAGCCAGGAGCAGTGGGCTCGCCCCAAGGGCCTCTGACGGAGCCTCGCGCTCATTGCCACTCCAGCTGGGCATCTCCACCTCTGAAATCTGGATGCTAGGGAGACCACGGCTCTCCTGTTGCTTTTTTTAATGGCGCTTTTTGCAAATATTATTGATTGGAGCTGGCTTACTCAAGTACTTTAAAAAAAACATCTCCCACACATCAGAAAAGAGGAATATTGCAGTTACACATGCTTCAACCCATTTTCAGTCTCCTCGGGCCCCACCGCAGCACGGGCTACATTTTAAAACACCAGCTGGTTCCCAGGCCAGCCTGGAAGGAGCAGGATAGGTGGAGCTGTCGAAGGTGAAGGATTGCTCTCCGTTTGTGCAGGGGCTAAATTGCCCCAAAACTCCCAGCACAGGTGTATGGGGTTCAATGGTGTCCCCCTGAATTCATGGCCACCTAGAACCTCAGAATGTGACCTTTTTTGGAAATAGGGTCTTTGCAGGTGTAATTGGTTAAGACGAGGTCATACTGGTTTCAAGTGGGCCCTGGTGTCCTTATAAGAAGGGGAGAAGGGACACACACAGGGAGAACGCCATGGGAAGATGGAGGCAGAGACTGGAGTGAGGTGTCTACACCCCAAGGAAGGTCAAGGGTTGCCGGCAACCAATCAGAAGTCAGGAGAGAGCCGTGGACCGGATTGTCCCTCAGAGCCTCCAGAAGGAGCCAATACCACCAACGTCTGGATTTTAGACTTCTAGCCTACAGAACTGTGAAAGAATACAGTTCTGTTGTTTAAAGCCACCCAGGTTGTGTAATTCGTTAAGGCAGCCCTGGAAAACGAATACAAGAGGAATACAGAAGGATGGAGGTCAGGCCCCAGCCCCACGGTAGACCCCCTCTGCTTCCTCCGGTTGCCACACAGGCCCCTCCGGGCTCCAGGAGGCCTGAGGAAAGGCGAGTCTGAGCCCCCCTCCCTCACCATGGCACTCTTTTGCCTGAAGCTGGAGAAAACTTACACCCCCTGGACCCCCCAGACCCTGAGACACAGAGGCCAGTAATGACTCCGCTTGGACACCTGGATCTGTCATTACTTAGTTCCTCACTGGATTTTCTGGGTCCCTGAGAGTAGGACAGGTATATTAGTCAGGGTTCTGCAGAGAAACAGATCCAATAGAATGTATATATAGAGAGAAGGTGAGAGAGAGTAATTTTTTTTAAGGAATGGGCTCACACAATTAATGGAGGCTGGCAAGTCCAAAATCTGCAGGGTGGGCCTGCAGACTGGAGACCCAGGGAAGAGCCAGTGTTGCAGTTCAAGTTTGAAGGCTGTCTGCTGCAGAATTCCCTGTTGCTTGGGGAAGGTCAGTCTTTTGTTCTAGTCAGGCCTTCAACTGATTGGATGAGGCCCACCCACATTATAGAGGGCAATCTGCTTTACTCAAAGTCCACCGACTTAAATGTTAATCTCATCCAGAAATACCTTCACAGAAACATCCAGAATAATGTTTGGCCAAATATCTGGGCACCATGGCCCAGACAAGTTGACACGTAAAATTAATAATTACAGTGGGCAAGTATTATGATCTCTATTCTAGAGAGAGGAAAACTAAGGCTCAGAGAGGGTGAGTGATTTGCCCAAGGTCACAAAGCAAATTAGTTGTGATGAGGAGTTGTAAGAAGGAGATTGGGCTGACAATGAGGAAAACTTGGATTCAATTCCCGTCCCCTCTGTATCAGAGCTTTAAACCTTTGTGGCCCTCCTACACAGACACACTGGATAAGGATAAACATACCCAATTGGTATTTGCATTCGTGTGGTACATTTTGCTTATATAACACCCTGCAACTGGGCACAGTGGAATGAGCACTGTTTTATGCCCAAAACCATACTCGTGACATCTAATCATCACAGTAATGCTCTGAAGTGACCATCATTGCCCCCATTTCATTGATGAGAAGACTGAGGCACAGAGCACTGAGGAAGCTGGCCTAGGCCACACAGCTTGTAGGCAGTCTGCTGGAGTCCAGGGTCTGCCTCCTTGACCACGGCCCGCTCTCCTCCGCAGCAGGTCCTGAATGAGCTCTGCGGGCAGTGAAGGGCATCTTCCAGGGCACGGCCGCACACATGGCTCCGTCTGGTGTTCTCAGCAGCCTGTGAGGAAGAGGGCTTGGTTCCATCTTTCAGAGCGGGAGTTGGGCTGTACAGACATTAACTGACTTGTCCTCGGTCACACGGCCAACTGGTGTCTTGCCCAGGATTGGGAATCTCTCCACAGCCCTGATGCTGGGCGGAAAAGAAACCACAGTTCCAGCTGCCAAGAGTATGGCTGAGATTTTAATGCAGGCAGCCTGATCCCAAAGCCCAGAGCCTTAACCACTGTCCTAGGACGTGTTCATTCATTCATTCACTCACTCATTCATTCAATAATTTATAAGTGTACTAGGTGTCAGGCCCTCCTCTACACACAGGTGACACGGAAGGGACTGATATCGTCCCATGTTTTCTTCTTTTCTTTTCCCTTTTGCCCTACCATTTGGAGAGGAATAGGAGTGGAGATATCAACTAAGTCTTGAACTCTCCCAACTTTAAATCTGTTGATCTCCCAGTGGGGGATAAAGGCAACAAACAAATAAAAGCTTTGAGAGAGCAGTAAATATGAAAATAAAAGAATGAGGGAGGGCTGAGGACAAGCCCAGCTGTAGGGGGGCCTCCTTGGGGTGGGCTCTTGTGAGCAAAGCTCTGAGTGACAAGAAAGATCCAAGTAGGTGGATATCTGAGGAAAGAGTAGTCCAGGGAGATGGAAGCAGGTGCAAAGGCCCTGAGGTAGGAACAAGGTGGTATGTTTGAGAAGCAGAGTGATCACCAGAGCACAAGAGCCTAGTGAGAAATGGGGAGAAGGGTCCAAGATGGGGTGAGAGAGAAACACTGGTCACATAGGGCCTTGCTTCAGATGCTCTTGGGTGCCTACAGCCATTTCTCTCCCTTCATGACTGGATGAGGCCTGCTTTTGTTCAGATGCCCTTCCCTATTTGCCCCACAACTCGGGGATTAATGCTGTTTAGTCCAAGCCAGGAGTTGGGAAAGGACCAGATAGTAAATATTTGGGGCTTTGAGAGCCATATGGTCTCTGGCGCTGTGACTCATCAAAGCCCACGTCCACGCTCCGGAGGTAGAAATTCTGCCTTAAGAAAAATATTCCACCACAGGGCTCTTTGTCTGCTTCCCAAAGTACATGAGAACTGAAAATGCAGACACCCGAATGCTGACACGTAGAGGACCATGACAAGCACGAAAGCAGGCATAGGCGATGCGTATATGAATGGGCACCACCGTGTTCCAATAAAACTTTGTTAACACAACTTTGCCAACCCCTGATCTAAACGAGAGAGAGGGATTGCTGGTACGGATGTGCAAGTGGGGGGACTTATAAGAGCAAACCCTTGAGAAGGGGACTGCTCACCCCCTCGCCCCACAGTCTCCCTCTGCTCTCCCGGTGTTCTGCTCTGTGCTCTCCAAGGATCCGCACCAATGGGAGAGGCACAGAGCCCTCCTCCTCAGGAGTGATGGCGGTGGCTCCGTGCCACTCGCACTCAGCCCTCCTGGAAGAAGAGCTACGAAGTCCACGCCCACAGAAGTGCGAGGCGAGGGCCAGGGTCTGCAAAGGTTTCTTAAGATCCAAAGAAATGGAGAGGTGGCTCGTGTGCTAGTGCTGGGGCCATTCTCAGATCACGCCTGGCTGTCTCCATTCTACCCACCTCTGGCCTCTCCCCGCTCTGACAAGTGAGAGGAAACAGAACACAGTCAGGAGGAAGGAAGGGAGAAAGCGTGGAGGGAAGAGAGCCCCCCTTCCCGCTCTGGCAGCTCCTGCAGGGAACCTTCCACACATGACAGATGCTTATGGCTTTAGACAATGAAACGGATCATCGCCTTCTAGCTTAAGCTGGGGTCATTACCCCTCGATTCTGCAGGGGCGCATCCGAGGCTTAATTTTTTGTTGTTTGCATCTGAGATCATTTCAATTAAAGAGCACTGGAAACATTCCCCCTCCCTTTCTTTAGTAAACAGAGCCTTATTGCCTCCCACCCCAAAAGAAAAAAATCCAATATTACAATTTTAAAAACAAAACAACCCTTAAGCGGGATGAGCGGGCTCTGGGTGAAAGGACATTTGTCCATATAGGGATTTTATTAGGAAAAACACCTCGGTCACCTTCTGCTCTAAGTCACTGAGCAGTGGAAACAATCTCACACAGTGGGATCACCCTTCTTTGCTCCTTGGTGTTACTCAGATCTTCTACCAGTCTGATTTGAGGCCAGGCTGACTTTTCCATGTGGTGGAAGGGAAGTGACTTGGGGGCAGACACAGCCCCCAACTGCTGGGTCACACGAACCACTTGGGGTAATTGCCAAAATGTGGATTCTTGAGCCCTGCCCGTGAGGATTGACTCTCCAAGGAAAGGGACCAGAGAATCATTATCTTTACCATTGCTCCAGGCAAGTGTGGGGAGTTTGATGTGTGATGTAAATAATGCACGGGCAGAGCCTGGAGGTTGATTTGAGTTCTGAGAGGTCAGGGGAAGCAAAAGTTATAAGGCAGCAGAACCCATAAATAAGCAAACACCTCAAGGTAGAAAAAAGAGAAAAGGTGAAAACGCTAGTTCATCATGAAAGGAGAAATGGACCCATAAAAAAGAAGCAGAGACTGAGAGTAGCGGAGTCACGTGAATGGAGGAGCCTCAGAAGGAAGGTACATACCAGGCAAGTGCCAAAGCAACCAAACAAAAACAAGCAAGTAAGAAGGTGGGACACTGTTCAAGTGGAATTGAAGACTAAAAGCATGAATCAGGACAGAGAGGTCCATCATATAATGATATAGGACATACTTTACAGAGAAGATATTATAGTTATAAACATGTATGCAACCAACAACATAGCAACTAAATCCAAGGGCAAAAAGTACTAGAGATGCAAGGAGAATTGCCCCCAAAATACAATTTAAGTGGAAGATTTTTAGTACACCCTTCTCAGAATTGGACAGATCTCGTAGACCAAAAAAAATTAAGGTCTTAGAGCTATGCTGTCCATTACAGAAGCCCCTCACCGCACGTGGTTACCAAGCACTTGAAATGAGGCAAGTTGAGTTGAGAGGTGCTGTAAGAGTGACGTACAAATGCCAGATTCCAGAGACCATGCACAAAAAAAAAATAGAGTATAAAATATCTCATTAATAACTTTTATATTGCTAATTTGCCAAAATGATAATATTTTGGATATATTGGGTTAAATAAAATATGCTATCAAATCAATTTCACGTTTGTTTTTACTTTTATAAAATTACATACGTGGCACACATTATATTTCTATTCAGTAGTGCTGACCTGGAGGAATCAAATAACGGCAGCAGCAAGGATTCTGTGAAGCCCCACCATTTTCTAGTTCCTGTTCTTGGATTCCAAAACCTTCCTCTTATTCCGCGTACGTGTTACAGCCATTGCCCTCTCCTGGAGCTTGGCGAGTGGGAAGTCGGTTGGTTACAAGGAGGAGAAGCTGTGGCTCCCGACTTTGTGATTACCTACTGGAGGAATTTGGGTCTTAGATTTGTTGTTTATAAGATAAAAATAAATCCTACCAGCAGGGTTGTCGTGAGGTTTAAATGAGATAGTGTAATCTCGTATTTTCCAAAAAGACAACATTAAAAATCAAAGAGAGGTGAGGGGGGCCTACAAGCTTTGTTTCCTGTCCCTGTGTCCCTTACAGACAGAGATACTAGTGAAAACTCAGAACCAGAGCTCCACAGGAGACAGTGCTGGAGGACTGTGGGAGTCCAGATGCACGGAGGGAGTGTTGGAATCGATTTCTGACCGTGAGGGTTTCGCTCGGTGGCCTTCAGCATGTATGGGGCACTGATACAGAGACCTCACACCACCGTGAATTAGGATAGCTTTTTATCTCACTTTAGATTCCTTAAAAACAAGAATTGCAACTTCAGCTGCTCTCAAGCAGAAGGATTTATCTCGTATGATGGTCATTGCAGATTCACAGCAAGTTCAAGCCAGAAGGCCCTGAGGTGTCATCTGGTGCAGTCAAGATTACCAACTTGTCCAGGTTCATCTGGAACTTTCCTGGTTTTAGCACTGAAAATCCCACCGTCTGGGCAACCTCTCAGTCCTGAGCAAACCAGGATGGTTGGTACCTCTCTTATGATGGGTCCTCCAACCCGGGTTTCATAGATCTGCCCTTGTGAGAAGAATCATGTGACAGTTGTTAAGATACAGATAGATCCCTGGGCCCACCTCCTTCACTCAGAATCGCCTGGGTAGTGGTCCCAAAATTGGCACCCCTGTTTCCCAGGCGGCTCTGATACCCAGCCAAGTTTGGGAACACAAATTAGGACAATGTTTTGTTTTGTGGATGGGGAAACCGAGGCCCAGTCTAAAGGCCCCACACTGAGATGGTTATGGTGACTTCTTCCTCGTAATTCCAAATAAAAACAGTATGAAAAGGTCTGAAAAGTTGGTGTAAGAAATTAAACAAAGTTCTGATGTTCCGCCGTGAGGCCTATTTCCATCTATTTTTTTTGTACTATAAAAGATATTTTGTAAGTATCCTCCTCCTTTGCTGGTGCCCAAAGCCCAGACTTGGTCTGTGTGTTGGATGATTCAGCCCCAGGCAGTGACGTACCCAGGTGGAGAGCCTGGACCCCAGTGCCTCACAATGAGAGGTGGTCCCCGCAGCCTCAGCTGTCTGGAGAACTCGGGGTTCCTCCCCCAGACCTGGGAAGCGGGGTTTCCGCTCAGGCCTGCCCAAAGTGTGGGATGCCCCTCTGCCATACTCCTTCCAGGTCTTTCCTGCCACGGGTAGTGGCCTAAGGACAGAGAGAGTGCAAGGAGCCCCTCGTGAAATGCCTGTATGAGTGTGAGGGTTGGCAACGAGAAGAGTGGAGAGCTCCAGGCTCCACCAAATTCCCCGTAGCAGCTGGACACCAGAGGGTAAAGTTGAGGACTCTTCAGTTATCAATTCAGTGAAAAGAGACTCAACTTTTGCAACACACAGTCCACTTATTACAAGTCGATTTCCTGCTCCATCCCGCTCAATCAAACCTAGGCAATATTCCCATCACCTGGGCTCTGGCTTGCCAGATTTTTCTTTTCTTGGAAAGGAAACAGCATGTAGCCTGGAAACAGCTCCAGCTCTGGAGCTGGACAACGTGGGTCCAAAGTCTGGCTTTGCCACCTACTAACAAGTCACTTAGCCCCTCTGTGCCTCAGGATTCCCCTGTGTGAAATGGGGCAATGGCACCAATCCTGTAGCATTGCTGTGAGGGTTAAAGGTGATGTACATAAAGGTCTCAGGCACACAGTAGGAATCCATAAATAATGCTAACTGCGTAATCATAACAATATATGTAAAGTGCCTGGTATGCATTAAGGGCTCAGCTGGTGTCTTTGAGACAATGTCCACTCCCCAGCACCCCGGGTCCCCAATGCCCAATGGGAAGATTCTACAAGCATTAAAACAAAAGTTACAGAGAGAGACAAACAGACCAGCAAAGACATCCAGGCAGTTGGTGTTTTCTGGCTGGGAAGCCTGCCCTAGTTTATTTTGGCAGCTGCCTCCACCATCAGTGATGGAAGGAGAAAGCAAAGAGAAATGGCAATGAAACAAATGGATCAACCAAGGAGGAAGGCTGTTTGGTTCCAGCTTCCAAAGGAGAACCCAGCTGTCCCGGTGATTGAGTTGTGATGGGTCGCTGGATTCTGGGCCGGCCCTTGCATGCTAGCTGTCAACATGGAGGGATGTTTCCAGAATAACTGGGCTGGGAGGAGTTCAGTTCGTTGCACTAAATTCAGTCATAGACTCACTCCAAATGGCAACTGTTTCAGTAACGATGGCTGTGTAACAAGCCACCCCAAAACTTAGTGACTTAAAGGAGTGACAGACATTTATCGGCTCATGATTCTGCAGTCCGGGCTGGGCACAGCTGCTCCATAAGGGTCATTTGGAGTCACTCTTGTGCGGCTGCATTCACGTGGCAGTTTGGGACAAAGATCCAAGATAGGCTCTTATAGTGTCTGGTGCTTCATGGTGCTTCAGTTGAGAGGGTTAAGATGGCCGGGGCGAGGGCGTGTCTCTCTCTGTCTCTCCACGTGGCCTCTCCTTCTCAAGGAGCGCAGCCCAGGCTTCCTCACTTGGAGTCTCAGGGCAGCAGGAGATTGAGGCTGGAAGCTGTGCATCTCCTAAGGGCTGGGCTCTGGAACTCTCTCTCACATGGTCACTCCTGCCATATTCTATTGGCCCAAGCAGTCATGGGTCAACCCAGATTCAAGGGGCAGGGAAATGGACTCCACCTCTTGAAGGAAGGAGTGACAATCCACAGCGGAAAGAGTGTGCACACAGGGAGAGGTGATTCATCAGGGGCCGTCATTATAACAACCTACCACGGCAACACAGAACATTCTCTAGTGTGTAACATTCAAGGCCTTTGTCTTCTGGCTCCAGTGCCCTTTCACCCTCCTGGTGAACTTCTATACTCCAGCTTCCTTCTCTGAGCACCTCAGACCCCTTCCCTTCTCTGGAGCTTTGCCAGTGTGTCTCCTTTGCCAGGGCTCAATGTGAACAAGAATACAAGTCCTGGAGTTAGCCAGCTCTGGGTGGCCACGTGGCCTCATCATTCACTCCCAGCTGTGTGACCTTGGGCAAGTCTCTAGGCTTCTCTGAGCCTCATTTCCTCCACTCTTAATGAGCATGCTGAGGTCTGCCCCATCGGATTGCTGTGAAGAAGAAGTGAGAGACAGGAGGTCAGGTGCCTGACACAGCAGCTGCCTGGCACTGGAGGGTGACTGCTAAGCATTGGTCCCAATCCACCCTCCATCCTGGACGGCTCCCATGTCTCTGCCTGGGGAACACCTACTTGGTTTCCTATGGCACATCCTTTGAAAATATTTTCCCTGGATCCCTCTAACTCTCACCCCAAAGAGAACTAGTCACTCCCTCCTTTTAGCTCCCAGAACCCTTTGCAACACCTCAGTTATGTCCCAGGTCACAGTGACATATAGAAGTATATCTCTCCCGAGGTGGGGGTTCTTGCATCCAAGAGCTGTGTCTCATCATCCTTTATCTTCAGTGCCCAGCACAAAGTGCATGCTCTGTACATCCATTTGGTGAATGAAGGAGGGAATGTCCGGGCTTCCCAGAGCTCAGGGGCACCCCTCATTTTTCTAGGTCCCTCTTTCTCACCCCTGATTACCCCAGAAGAGGAGTGGAAGACAAACAGGGATCCAGCTTTCGTCCCAGTGAGGTGGCCTTTGGACGTGATCCAGGGCCACGATGGCCGCTCTGGGGTAAAATGCCCAGCAGCTGCTGCAGCCCTGTCTGCTGTCCCTAACTAATGAGGGCTGCACGGCCCCAGGGGACGGAGAGGCACGCTCTTCCTGCAGAGTCACCGTGCATCAAAAATTAAGGCGTCAAGCAGGAAGCCTAGTTCATCAGATAAACACATGTTCCTCCTTTGCCCAGAGGAAGCATCCTGGCTCCCATTGGCCTGGCTGGACCAGAGACATGGAGACCAAGGAGGCTGGCCTCAGACAGGAAGGCCCCACCCTTCTGGCTCAGCAGGAAATATTCCTCGTAGCAAGAGGCTTCTGAGGACAGATCTGGGTTTGAATCCTAGCTCTGTCACTCAGTGGTTCTGCAAACCCGGGTCAATCTGCTTGCCTCTCTGAACCTCCATTTGTTCATCAGTAAAATGGGGATAATGGTAACTCTCTGTGAAGACCATTGTGAGGATTAAATGAGACAACATCAGTGGCATATAACGGACACTATATGCCTGGTCCTTCTGCTGCCCCAAAATCCATCTCAGAGTCTCAGATCTGTGAGCATTGCTCCAACAGATAAATTGTTCCATAAAAAATAACTGAACTTGTTAAGTGCCTTCCTAGACCCTCAGTGAAGATTATTGGAGTTTGGGAAATTACACAGTGTGGGTGCTGGGCAGCTGCTAGGTTCACTCACTGGGCAATGACTATCAATTCTAACAATATTGGAGCTAACAGACAAGCAGTTAACATGGGAGACCGTTCTAAGTCCTTTACATACATTAATACATTTAGTCTTGGCAACAGCACTGTGAGGTTGGTGCTATTATTTTCCCCATCCTACAGAGGAAGAAACCGAGGGTGAGAGAGGTTTCACAACAAGCAGAATTATACAGGCAGTTAGTGGCAGAGCTGGGATTCAAACTGAAGTGGTCTCGTGCCACAGCCTGTGCTCTGAACCATGAGGCTATACTGCCTCGAAGTGGCTCATTCCTGTTTACCAACCTGATGGCGTTTACAGGGCTCGTCTAAGCTGTAGCACACAACCACAAGAATACCTGATACCAGCAGAACACACCTTGTTGAGGCCTCTCTTTCAATTGTTACAACCGTCTTAGGAGGCCAGGACTATTATTTCCATCTTGTGGAGGAGGGAACTGAGACACAGTGAAGGCAAGGATGTTTTCCAAGGTGACACAAAGAAGGGTGGTGGAATTGAGATGAGAAATTCAGCAGAGCCCGCCCTTAACCGTCACACGGGTTATTACAAGCGGAGGATGGTGCAGGCACATGAGTGTTCAGAACTGCCCAAGCTTAGTCCTGGG